CTACCAGTAGACACGACTCCAGCAGTGAACGCTTGTGGATTATATTAATAATTTGTAGCCGTAGACTTTAACTGTATAATCAAGTAACCGATTAATTTATATAACTCATCACTGTATTTTTTATAATATACTGTTACACTATCATCTCATTGACTTGTATTTTTATTCAAATACTTGTTCCGCTACTGAGCTCGCTAGAAAGTCCCCTACAGATCATCCGCATACATAACAAAATTCGTTTTATCAGAGTGAGGCAAGTCATGCAAGAAGAAAGAAAGCAGAGAAGGAGAAAGAACAGCCAGCCTCAGTAAGTAATGAAGTGGACGACTTCCCCTGACATACAGTGCAATGCTTTCTCCCTGAGACATAAGAATGCAGTTAGTTGGAAACCCAGCACTCAGTCTGAGTTTCAGTTAGCTTATTTTTTTTTATTTTTTTGACTTACAGCTTGATTCCACACTGTATTTTTGGTACAAGTATGGAATTTTCAGAATAGATACCGGTAGCCCAAATTTTGCAGGCCGACCATAGATATCAGGTGTGCGTCGGTAGGGGATCGAACCCCGGACCATGTGCATGGTCGGCGAGAGTCCTAACCACTGTGCCACCGACGCACACATGATCTTAGCTCAGAGAGCCGAGAAGCTAGGTACTGAGTCAAAAGCAGGGGCGTAATCCAGGAAAGTGCAGCGAACAAATTTAGTCCCTTTGTCTAAGCTGGAGACAATGTTATGACGCGAGACTGCAGCTGCATCTAAAGTACTTCTATCATGTTTGTAGGCGAATTGTTTGGAACCATTAAAGGTTTCAAGTGAAGGTTCAGTATTAAGTAAGAACAACTTTTCCATAGTCTTTAGAAAAGGAGAGGTTAAAGCAATAGGTCTAAATTTGATACATGCTCCAGTAGATGACTTAGGTATAGGTACAATTTTAATGTCGAAACGGCTGACACGGTATTTTTGGAAAAAGATTCATTAAATGTAAGCATAAAAGTTGGGCACTGTGGTAGAGTATAACTCCATTATAGATAAGATTTTATTTTAATAATTCCCATTGTTGTACAGTAATATCAACTGATGACATTTCGAGCACAAATTATTGCTCATAATCATATCACGTCACTCACACAACTTTTTTTCTTCATTTATTTACATGAGTAAAAATTTATTAGACATTTGAATAAATCAGTATAAGGTAATACACATTCAGAAATAGTATTAGTGTTTATTGGTGACGGAAGAAGTATGGATCCTATAAAATTGGAATTATTACTTGAGCAACAAATGAGATTAATGGAAATGATCATCACCAAACAGACTGGTTCAGCTTCACTTTCAAGCACTGCGAATCATACTATGTTACCATCTATCGACGGAATTGTGAATAGTATCACGCAATTCAATTATGATCCAGGTGCTACTGTCACTTTCAACACATGGTATCAGCATTATGAGGATTTATTCAGAGTTATAAGAATAAAACTTGTGCACTGTGGTAGAGTGTAATTCCGTTATGGGTAAATTTTGTTTTGATAAAGTCTCACAGTGTTATACAGTAATGTTTACTGATGACGTTTCGAGCACAATTTATTGATATGATTATGAGCAATAAATTGTGCTCAAAACGTCATCAGTAAACATTACTGTATAACACTGTGAGACTTTATCAAAACAAAATTTACCCATAATGGAATTTATTCAGAGTTGATCTCTCCTCGCAGGACGATGCTTGGAAGGTACAATTGCTACTACGTAAGTTGGGTCCTGCAAAATATGAAAGGTACTGCAACCTAATTTTACCCTAAAAACCACGTGACAAGTGTTTCAACGATACAATAAAGCTGCTGAGTGAACATTTTGGAGACCACTCCTCATTATTAAGCATATGTTATCGTTGCCTCAAGCTGACGATGAATGAAAATGATGATTTTCTCACTCATGTTGACACAGTCAACAGAGAATGCAAAAGATTTCGACTCAGGTCCTTGATAGATGATCAGTTCAAAGCCTTAATTATCATATGCAGTCTTCAATCGCCGCGTTTCACAGATATTCGAACACGACTTCTCAATCAACTAGAACAAAATCCAAAGTTAACACTTCATGATATAGCTGATGAATATCAACGGCTGATTAATCTGCAGAAGGACACGCACGTGGTCGAATCAACAACTTCGTGCATTACAAAAGAGCAAAAATCTATCCTTATCATCTAATCCTGACCCACCTGCTCTTAATGTTCCGCGTAAACCTACATTTACCGGTACAACCTCACAAAATATTTCTAAGAAGACCCCACCATCAGCACGCTGGCACTGTGGCGATTGGCACTTTGTAAAGTCATGTCCATACAAAAATCATCGTTGCAGCAAATGTAACATCATCGGTCATAAAAACTGATTTTGTCAGCCACGCAAACACAGATATCATAATCCAGCGAAAGCTCGACCAGCTGTTAGTCCTAAAGCTCCAAGAAGATAAATGAGTCCACTCGCAACCTGTCAAGTCACAACACCAGGTATGCGGAAATATATTGATCTGCAGATAAATGGTCACAATACACGTTGCAGCTAGATACCGCCTTTGATATTACTGTTATATCAGAGAAACTTTGCAATGATATTGGTTGACTATCTATCAGAAACACTTCGCAGACTGCTGTCAGCACCTGTGGCGGGCGCCTTAAACTAACTGATGAACTCGAATGCGTCGTGTCTTTCTGCAACATCAAATTCACAGAAAATTGTTACGCCACCCAGAGTAATTTAAATCTTTTGAGACTCGACTGGTTTGACCGTTTACATAAGGCTGATGTCCCACTTAATTCTGTATGTGATGCACTCAACAAGTATAAAAATTCATCCAACTCCTTTTCTGATTTATGCAAACTATTTGCACCTGTTTTTCAATCTGGTTTAGGCCACTGCACCTCGATGCAAGCTATCTTTCGAGTATTACCAGACGCAAAACCGGTTTTTCGCCCAAAGAGGCCAGTCCCATATGCATTCGCAGCAAAAGCTGACGAAGAATTGGAGAGACTACAATAACAAGGCGTATTAGAACCAGTCACGTACGCGGCATGGGCAGCACCCATCGTAGTTGTCACGAAAGTGAATGGGTCCCTACGTATTTGTGCTGATTTTTCTACCGGGTTGAATGCTGCACTAGAACAGCACCACTATCCTCTAGCTAGCCCGGATGATTTATTCACTGTTTTAAATGGTGGTTCTTATTTTGCAAAACTGGATCTTGCTGACGCAAATCTACAAGTTGAAGTAGCTCCAGAATGCCAAGAACTCCTTACCATTAGTACACATCGCGGCCTGTTTCAGTACAACACATTACCTTTCGGAGTTAAAACTGCCCCAACTATTTTCCAATAGCTGATGGATACTATCTTGGCAGGTATTCCGGGTGTTGCCGTCTATCTTGATGATAACTTGGTGGTAATGAATTCTCCAGACGAACTTTACAGCAGGACAGAAGCTGTCTCGTAACGCATCCGGGATAACGGTTTACGACTACACTCAGAAAAGTGTCATTTCTCCTTGAAATCTGTAAAATACCTTGGATTTATATTTGATGCCTCGAGTAGACGTCCAGATCCTGACAATATACGTGGTATAAAAGAGATGTCCGAACCTATTGACGTGCCTTCTTTACGCTCTTTCTTGAGATTAATTAGCTATTACTCTGCGTCTCTCCCTGAGCTGCATCCTGCTCGACATCCTCTCAATCGACTACTTGAAAAGAATGCAACCTGGAAATGGTCCGAAGCTTTCAGATCAGCTTTTGAAAAGTTGAAGTCTATGTTAACTTCTGAATCGCTTCTGACACATTATAATTCAGCACTTCCAATTATCGTTGCAGCAAGCGGAGTGGGAGCTGTCATTTTACATGTCTTCCCAGATGGTTCACAAAAAGCAATAATGCATGCATCTCGAACACTAACTGCTTCAGAGAAGAAATATCAACAAATTGAAAAAGAAGCCTTAGCTTTAGTCCTCGCCGTACGACGTTTCCGTAAAATGATCTACGGTTGCCGACTTACTTTGCTGACTGATCATAAGCCGTTACTTTCCGTTTTCGGATATAAATCAGGTATCCCTGTACATGCAGCTAACCTACCACAACGCTGGGCAATAATATTAGCTGGATATGATTTTGATATTAAATACAACCAAACTAACGAATTTGGTCAAGCCGACGCTCTATCTCGGTTAGTTAGCGACTATTCTACATCAGGTGAGGATATGGTAATTGCATCAATCGCCACCAAAGACTATGTAGTTCATCTCATCGGCAATGTTGTTCGATCTCTACCAGTAACTTTTGCAGAAATCCAGCGAACTGCAAGCACCGATGCCACCTTATGACGTGCTACACAGTATGTGTGGAGTACGTAACAATGTGATTGTACACTTTTTGGTTATTTGTATAAATTCGAGATATTGTACATAATTTTTGTTTAAAACGCTTCTTGTTGAAATATACATAACTTCCTGGTACAATTGAAAAATACACTCTGCTGTTGGAGACTTCGTCTTCTCCCTGGTTATTTCTGCTTACTTCCTCAACTCACACCGTGTAGTATACTTCGGATTTATTGTAGGAGCCTACTACTCTCAACCGAAGACATTTCTACAACCGGAACACAGCAGCTACAGCAGACGCAGTCCAAACAATTAATGTGCCCGTGGATTATATAATTAATTTGTAGCCGAGGACTTAGACTTTATATCCAAGTAATCCTTTTTGTTGCTATAACTCGTCACTGTATTTTTGGTAATATATTGTGATTTAACACTCCACTGACTTGGATTATTATTTTTATATTTGGAATGTTAGTGAACTCTAATATTAGTCCCCTACAAATTAATTAGGTAGGGTTGAGCGCTCGGTTTGAACTTACTAGACTTCGTGGAGTTTTATTCCGGCCTTTTATTCCAGCACACTAGGAATATCTTGCTGCGCCGCCAGTGTTAATCAGAGATCTCCTGAATGTTTCATAAACAAGGGAAGTTAAGCTCAAACACTCCGAAGACAAACGCGAATGTTGATAATCGTAATACAGGTCTCCATGCGGTGGAATATGAAGAAGCAATGGAAGTGGAGCAACCTTTAAGTGATACTTCTGAGTATGACCCATCCTCAGATGATGAGCAACAACCGTGGCTTTATACTGCACCCAAGGGTTGCTGTGGGAATTCATGCGAGCAAACGGATGCTTCTGTAGATGTATATGATGAGAATGACGAAGCCAGAGCCTCAGGTGTTATTGAAGCTGTCTTTGAGAACATTCTGCGTCACAAACAAGCAGCCGCACGGGGAGATGTTCGTGTGCTTGGTGGATCAGGGATGATTCGATGCCTGCCTTGGAAGATACTCGTTATTTTTCATCCTGCAGAGGTTCATGCAACAATTGGCGTATTTGTACAATGTAATGCAGATAGTGAATCACAAACATGGAGTTGTACTGCGAAGGCAACAATTCAGTTAGTTGCCCAGAAACCTAACTGTAAAAGCAAAGAAATGAAAATTCAGCACACTTTCACACACAAGGAGAATGATTGGGGATTTCAACAGTTTATTGGTTATGAGGAGTTGCTAAATCCTGAAAGAGGATTTTTATCTCCAACTGAGCCGAAAGATACTATTATTATACGCGCTCATATCAAAGCTGATGCACCTCATGGTGCTGATTGGGACTCAAAACGCCATACTGGATTTGTTGGCTTAAAAAATCAGGGAGCTACCTGCTACTTGAATTCTCTTCTTCAGGCCTTGTATTGCACTAATAAGTTAAGACGTGCTGTTTTCCTAATGCCCACTGAAAGTGACGATGCTCAAACTAGTGTACCACTAGCATTGCAGAGAGTGTTTTATGAATTACAGTTTAGTAGCCGTGCCGTTGGCACTAAAAAGCTAACTCGCAGCTTTGGTTAGGCTACCTTAGATTCATTTATGCAATACGATGCTCAAGAATTATGCCGTGTTCTTTTAGACAACTTAGAAAACAAAATGAAGGGGACATCAGTTGAATGTGTTATACCTGGCCTTTTTTGTGGGAAAATGCTTTCTTACATAAATTGCATCAACGTCCCGTATTCCTCCAAGAGAGAAGAGAATTTTTATGATATCCAACTCAAGGTAAATGGGAACCGTTCTGTTTATGACGCTTTCACTGAATACATTGCTAAGGAAACTCTTTCTCAGGACAATAAATACGATGCTGGTGCTTACGGGCTTCAGGAGGCATAAAAGGGTGTTATATTTACACGATTTCCACCGGTTTTATACCTACAACTAATGAGGTTCCAGTATGACTTCGTTGCTGATACAAATATTAAATTGAATGATCGTTTCGAATTCCCATATATTCTAAAGCTAGATCAATATCTGGCGGAACCTAAACCATCTACATACAGACTTCACGCTGTACTTGTACACTCTGGTGATAACCATGGTGGTCATTATGTTGTGTATATAAATCCGGCTTTAAATGGTATTTGGTATCAGTTTGATGATGACGTTGTTTCACGTTGCTCACTTCGTGATGCTATAGATATGAATTTCGGAGGCACTGATGACCCAGATATGCGCCTATGCACAAATGCTTATATGCTGGTTTATATTGCAGAATCAGCCAAAGACGATGTTCTATGTCCTCTTTCGGAGAATGATATTCCAGAGACATTGCGTAAACGATTTATGGATGAACAAAGAATGGATGAGGCGAAGAGAAAACAGAAGGAAAAAGTTCATTTGTATGCTGCTATCCATTTAATTCTTGAGGAGAATTTCTACGGTTGGCAGGGCCCAGATCTGTGTAGTCAAGAATTTTTACCTAGTAGAATGCTACGTGTTCAAAAACAAACTGTTCGTCCAAAGTTGTTAGATGTTGCCAGTGTGTTGCATTATCAACCTGAGTGCATACGTTTATGGAGATTTCAACCTCGACGTAAAAATGTGCCCACTCATTTAATTGAACTTAATGACAACCAACCTCTGTGTGCAATGAAGGATACTCTTATCTTCTATGTTCAGTCTGACTCTTCAACCAATTCATCCATATCCCGATTAGATAAAGAACAAGCTGTCGCAGATCGGCATCTGTTTTTCTTAAAATACTTTGATCCATTCACTTGGACTTTGACATTTTGTGGTCATGTTGGAAAAAAAAATTATGTACAATATCTCGAATTTATACAAATAACCAAAAAGTGTACAATCACATTGTTACGTACTCCACATATGTATCCAGTAATTAAATATAGTGGAGACCTGAAACACCTGTTTACCAGTCAAGATTCCTTATGTGTTGCAAAAAATTGCTTGATGTTTGGATAACGCGTAGTGATACCCGAAGCACTACGAAATAAACTCCTAAAACAGTTTTACATGGGACATCCTGGCATTCGGCGGATGAAGTCTCTTGCTCGCAGTTACGCATACTGGTCTAATATGGATAAGCATGCAGTCGATTTTGTTCAGCGATGTTAAAAATGTCAACAAACAGCAAAAATACCCCACCAACTACCTCCCGTACCATGGCCACCAGTAGACTATCCTTGGTCCAGAATTCATATTGATTTTGCTGGCCCTATAAGCGGTGCATATTATTGAGTGGTGGTAGACGCTTTTTCGAAATGGCGAGAAGTTGTACCGATGGTTTCGTCGACAACGTCCCAGACTGTGAAAGCTCTCACTGACTTATTCCCCCATCACGGTCTCCCAGAAACCATAGTTACAGACAATGGTTCGCAGTTTACTCCTCATCAATTTCAGCAGTTCTGTTGTCAAAATGCTATCAAGCATATGTTCACACCACCGTATCATCCTCAATTAAACGGCCAAGCGGAACGTTTTGTAGACACCTTGAAGAGAGCTTTACTCAAAGCAGAGGGAGAGGGGACGCCATTTGACATCATCCAAAAATTCTTGATGGTGTACCGTACAACGGCGAATGAGTCGACACAGAACAAGAAATCGCCGACAGAAATTCTCTACGGACGCAAACTTAGAACGATTCACAACTCCATGTTACCACCGGTACCCAAACGTGCCGACGTATCAATTCGAAACGAAAAAAAAATTTATGTTGGGTACGTTGTCCATGTCCGCGACTATCGAGAAGGACATAAACCTTGGAATAAAGGTTCCGTCGCAGCACGACGTGGTCGAGTTATGTACGACGTGAAAGTTGGTAATGATTTATGGATCCGTCACTACAATCAGTCGCGTCCAAGAAGCTAAAATATCCCTACCAGTACAAAGTCATCTCTACCTCGGGATATACTCTTAGATACTTTAAACTTACCTACAACCGGCAAAACAGAAAAGCAACACTACGCAGCTCAGACAACTCAGGGCAAAGCAGAAGCCGCGAACCCAACAAGCAGACGAAGCAATAAACGTCGACAACAAACTCAACGGCTCCAGATAAACCCTAAGAAAGCGAGCTACTAATCATCAGTCTTCTCAAAAGGTGAGGTGGTATGTAGTCAAATGATGTCTGCTTTGTTTTTGACAGTCTGATATGTTTGCTACATGTATGACCTTTTGTCATATGACATTACAACCAAAACTACTCTCTGTCTTATTGGTTGATGTATGTTAGTCATTTTCATATATACTCTTTAATTGTACAGTCAAGACACTCTTTTACACCTTTCGTACTCTTTAGTACTTTTCCACTCACACTCTTGTGTGACAGTTTATTTTCCTTGTTGGAAAATACACGTATTTTCGTGAACGTGTTGGTCTTCTGATTTGCCTCTTCGCGTCAGGACAAATTAACTACTCAGCAGTACTGGTCTGTACATTATCTTCCGTCATATCTCATTAGCGTATATTTATACTCGGTCACATCATAAAATTGGCAACAACACCATAGCCTATTGGCGATGAATGCATAACAGTGTCATCAATCAAACACAATCAGATGGGAAATAAGACGTTTTTTACAGTAAAAATAAGTAACTTGTAAGAATGTTAAATAAAATGTGACCTGAATACATTTTAACATCATTTATTATTCTCATATTTGGCTGGTATTAATATCTTCCATATCTCTGGTATTTGCGTTGAGTCATTTCTGTTGCATGTTTTGGGTGTATACTCGCTTAACCAGTGAGAGAATAACATAGGATTTCTGCACATTTTTAAAGAATAATGCTAGGCACACTATCTGGATCTAGGCTACGAGAATGGTTCAGCGACTGGCGATATTTTAGAGTGTCATTTGTATTGAAACCAGAGAAGCAGCTTTTGTTAACTCTTGTGACACCAGAAAGCTCAGTATTCTTGGGAGGATATATGAAAGACTTGTTTAGGTTACACACATTAAATGAATCAGGAATACTATTTATCTGCTTACCACCAGTAATTTCTTCGAAAATTTTCCGTATATTAGTGGCGTTTTTGCAGGATATAAACTTCTGATTATAAATTGAATTCAACCTCTGCATTTCAGACTTTATTAAGATGTTAATTCTTTTCACACCATTGTTATCTTTAATTTTATATAACTTCTCCTTTTTCTTGTGAAGCTTTTTAAGTTGAGGGGAGGAGAAACAGTCAGATCTGATGAAAAGTGTTTCTCTGGGACAACAGATGTGAAGACAAAATTTGATGTAACATGTAATGTTTGAGAAAGTGTCAACAATAGAGTCTTCATTAAACAAGTCCCACCTTTTGCTCCTTAAAATAATTTTGACATCTTCTTTATGGTTACTTTCTGTTTAGATATACACAGTGAAGTGTCCTCTCCACTAATCTGCTGAAAACAAGTAAAGAGGGAGGTAGTTCGAATGGCATTCAAATAAAATAACACTGCTGCTAAGGGTAAAGGTTGTGCTACTTCGATCACCTTCTTCTTTTATTGGTATCTAATCGTAGACCCAAAAGTGTGAACTCAAACTTCTGTAGACAACCTAATTTTTCTATAACGGTTGGCTATGCAGACGGTTTTAATTCAGCTGTCTGAAGTTAACACTAAATCTATCCTTCCCGTTGGGTTTTCTCAATAAAAGAACCACAGAATTTTATGGGTTGTAGGCTTCTTCCATTATCCCATCACTCAACATTTCTTGAAACCTGTCTGTTTGTTTCCTTTTCTAACTGTACTTCAACGTACTCTACTTATTAAGTTTACTTTAAATGTAATAGTAAAATTTAGGCATAGTGGTAGAATATAATTCTACATTAGATAAGTCCGTTCGATAAAACAAAACATGATACAATATTAACGGCTGAATGACTTTTTAAACACAATTAATTGCTCATATCGATACATAATTTGATTATGAGCAACGTCATCCAGTTGTTAATTATCACGCGCTATCTAGGATGAACGATTACTTTTTCGCGATTCTTCAATCGGGTCATACTTTGTCACAATGAACGCACCCAAGGGAAATATTCGTCAATCCGCTTGACTCTTATTCAGATCGCTGACACTTCTACAGTCTTTTATCTGTCACCCAATCTTGTTGGCTTCTTGGCATTCGTTGGTCACTGGTGTGTGTTTTGTGGTTATCACCAGTCCACTCATGTCCGCAGATCAGGCTGCATTCACTAACTGGAACTGATGGGCTACAGCAGCAGAGATGCATTTCATACACTGGTAGACAACTGGCTACGTCTTCAAATCTTTGTATCTCATTGCAACGCACATCTTAAGCGATTTGCCAACACTAATGCTAAAACCAGCTGGTTTTGTTCCGCAACAAGTTGTAGGCTCTTGATTTTCTGCAATACCTGCCTATCTTCTCGGCTGCCGAATCCTAAAATCAGCCTCTGCCAACTGTCTAACACTACCTCCACAGAAGCTGTCGTTGGATGCTTTCCTTCCAATTCCTTATAAGTTCTCTCGGACAGGTTAGTCTTTTATTCTTGCACACCAACCAAGTACCCCACAGCTTTGAAATCTAAAAAAAACTTCCCGACTCACGTGCCTCCGAAGATATGTAACCATGACACTTTAGCCTCTGATAAAGCCACCATTACCAATATTTATTTTGACAGAAAGCAGTGTAGGTTAACAAAATCGTAAACTTTATGTTGATCTCGCTATTTACAGATTATTTCTATCTCGTCTGATCCTAGTTGCATTCCAGCCTATTCTTCAGTTATCTCCCTATTAAAACACTTTTAGTTGAATACGTAAGTCTACAGCCGACAACACAAGATCCTGTGGTTCCATTAACAATATAATTGTGAATTGATTAGAAATATGTGACTCAATAGCATAAGCAGTCGACTTCCAGTTATTGGGTCTGAGGTCCTAATCACCCTTCACCTACTTCAGCGTTGGCTGCTAATTTATTTATATCAGCGCAGGTATTATGTAGCTTACGGTGTGGTACATGAAAAATTTGTTCTGAGCAGCTAAATTATAACAAACAATTACAGCGAAAACAATAAAAATACGTATGTTATGGCTACTGATTCGTCGAAACAGTCACACTCCAAATGAACGCGGTGGGGAATATCAAAATGAAAGGCTATAAAATAAGCATGACTACGGATTTTAAGGGACATACGATTCAAATACAAATCATGAAGAGTTTAGGATAATGCCATTCTGCATAAGTGCTAGTGAAGAAAGTATTATTTACTCAACCAAGACACTCCACAAACTATGTAAACATATTATTAAGGCCAATGATAATGAGGGTAGATAAAGTAATGTATGCATACCTCATAATAAGAAATACATTACTTTATTCAAAAATGACGTCAATAAAGAAATGTGGAGAAATAAGAGAAATGATAATCCTTTTTAGGGAATCAAATATACTAGTAGTCCACTTCCTCGAAACGAGACAGACAACCATAAAAGATGGTGTTGCACAAATTGAGCATAAAAATACCGTGTGAAAGTAAGCCAATTGAGGCCTAAACGACCCGCCATTCATGGATCAAGTAAACGTTATACTAAATCCATTGTATTAGCTATTGCAAGTATAATCAATATAAGTTGACCATCCTGTCGTGTGTGTCAATCAGAATGGTTGTAAATAATATCCTGTCTTCAATTACAGAACAAATTCAGCTCACCGATAACCAAAATACCAGGTCTACTGACACTGTCATGGTCATAGGTTTTTCTGAACCTGTTGTTATAAAACTCTTTTTCTAGAAAATAACGAACACTTTTATAGGTAGTAGTTATGTCAGTCAGATGCTAAAGTACAAAAGAAATGAGGGAAATTCCAGGTGAATAAGTATTCAGTCTGAATAGAAAACTGAGAAATTGAATTTAAATTAACGTAATATGAATTCTTAAAGATGAATAACACCAAGGAGGAAGACGACTTCAAACAATAGTTTTTGTAAACAACACATACAATTAGAACTCCCAACACAGGTTTTTGATTTATTTTATCATAGGAGAAACTGTGTTTGCTTTGTAATTACAATTAAATTCGCATTGAAAAAATTGTTCTGCTTCACTTTCATTTAGTGTATGAAACGAAAGTTTCATACTGGACTCAATTTTTTTTATTATAGATTGTTTCACACAGTACTTTTGGTAGAAGTATGGAATTTTTAGCATATGATACCAGTAGCCCAAATTTTGAAGGCCAACCACTGATATCAGGTGTGCGTCGGCAGGATATCGAATCCCAGACCTTGTGGATGGTCGGCAAGAGTCCTAACCGTCGTGCCACCAACTCACAGTCCCTACTGGATGCTACTACTTCGACGTTTACATACCGCAATAACCCAACGAACTACACTGATTTGAACGAATGTCCCTGCCACAAAAGTCTTTCGAATTGCAATTGAACTAAAAGCAGTTACCATAAATCATTTGAACTATGTTGTGAATATAATGGCAAAGTCATACTGCTGGAGAAGAGGGTTGTTACAGCAGTCATATGTTTCCATTAGACGATCCGTAAGCCAATCATGCTACCACTGAGCTTTAACCAGGGGTGGGTTTACAAAAGGTTGACCACGGAAATTTTACGTTTTCGCTTTCTCTGCTGTGGTCCACAGCAAGGTACAACTCGAAAAACTACTTCGAACCCACTATATGTCACCTCATGAAGCAGGGGTCGCCTGTGCTCTGCATTCACGCAGTCTTTCTACTTGTTCCAAGAAATCAAACTTTAGTGTTATGACAGCATAGCTGATCAAGCAATAGTAATTTTTGAATACATAACTTTTCATACCTAACCAATAAAATGACAAGTAACAGTAGTCCAAATAAAACACTAGTAAAATGATGGTTATGGTACATCGCTAATCAGTAATGTTTGAAAGCTATCGAATTTTACATGGATGGTAGCTCGACATGTTTCGTAGCTCGACAAATATGGGATCGACCTTACAAGTCATTCACGGGTTCTTATTGTCGATGAGTGTTTTGCAATTTGGAGTGGTTCTTTAGCTGTCACCGATTTCGGACTAAATCTAGAGAGATGAAATAAACTTGTAGCCTATGACAACGCTAACTAAGCTCTATGTGTATACAACACGGGACGGTAAAAAACTAAAGTGGATAGATTTAAGACACTTAAGTACCCTCTCCAAGAAAATAGATATAGAATGATAGAGTACTTGACAAAAGATAGTAATTCAATATAATCACCCTTCATCCTATTGCAGCAAATCATCACTTATAACAACCAAGCGATGAAATTAGACCTCACATCACATTGTGCGTCGGTGGCATAGCCACTAGCTTGAAGCCCTATATTCCACTGGGGAACGTGAAGGAAAAAATATTTTATATATATATATATACCACCTTACTGATTAAATATAGTAAGGTAAACTTGATTGTAACATTAATCTATGTACAGTAGCGTGCAGAAAGCATAAATACATTGAATGTGCTTATAGGATTGTCACAGGCTATTATATGTCTAAAAACTACATGAGTCAGGTCATAATATAATGCTGTGACACTTATGAAGGCCCAGTCATTACTACTTGAAATTTCTTTCTTAATGGATTTACTGGGAAAGTCAGCAGATACGTTAAAACACAAACAAAGGACAGGACAAGAAATATCAAACTATCCAGGGAAGAAGGCACTCTGTAATTTTGTGAGCTACAGTAGTTTACAGAGTAAATACTGGAGCGGAGGAAATACGTCCATATTTCCTATTAAAGGCTTACTTCGAAAATCTGTACGTAAATATTGATATAAGAAGAGAACTCTTACAATGAGGTAGAGTATGATTCCATTGCGGTATGATTTGATTATGAGCAATAAATTGTGCTTGAAACGTCATCAGTAAATATTATTGTATAACACTGTGAGATTTTATCAAAATAAATTTTACCCATAATTGAATAGCACGCAAATATGTCTGGGATGATTAGTGCGCATTGCGTTCACATGAATCACTCGAAAAGCTGGTATCCGACATTCTAAACTTTTTTCAGTAATTAATTCTTGTACTTTGGACAGAATCCTTCAGACTGAAGCAGTTTTTCCAATATCCGGTGTAACAAATATACACATACAGCTACTCTCATTCGACGCTACCTGAACAGTCATAGAGTATAAAATACTTCAATTTGTTTAGCTGACATCAGTATGCATGTTGATAGATACTGATCTTTGCTTTCTGATTACGAACTTTATATCTTTCATGGTAAAGATCTAAAAGACTTACTCTTACTAGGCCATAGATTTTTGAGTGAGTTTTCAGAGTAGTCAGTGTTTACAGAAGGTCTCAGATATCTATTTTGTTTACTTGCACTTAATCTGCTATGAAGCACCCCAGTGAGTCTTTCTGCAGAGAAAAAGAGTCAATTGGCTGCATAGTAACGCCATCCATGAATTCGTGAAAATAACGGCTAATAGACGCGGATTTCGACAAAACAATTAAAACAGTCTACCTGAAACATACAACAGAATGTTTGAAAGGTACATTTTAAACATTCTCACCACACGCAATTTTCATACATATTTAGGTAAAAGCAGTCAGGATATGAATGGTCAAAATCAAATAAATATATGTAGAAATGTTCATGGATCACGATTGCAAATGAGGGGTAAAACTGGATGAAAATGCTATTACGTAAAACAAACAATGGTTTTAAAATGATATTACCAAGCAGTGGTCAGATTAATAACAATTAATTATTGCGAAAATATTCATTCTATAAATAAGAGAATAACTGAGGAAAGAATATCCATTTCGATAAATTTCTCTTCTGGCACTACAATTATACACATGTGTATATAAGAATATACGCTTATATACATAAAATATTCTAGAATATTATTTAAAAAGCACTGATATTGATATTGACTACTATTCTAGAATATTCTGTGTATATAAGCATATGTATAATTGTAGAGCCAGAAGAGGAAACTATCGAAAAAGATTTTCTTTGCTCAGTTATTTTGTTGTTTTACAAATAATTATTGCCCAAATTAAACAGATTCAGAGGCATATATGAAGATGCGGTTCAAGTCACATACCTGGATTCATTAAAGACGTACCCATTAAATGGCCTACCAAACGTTAACTATGTGAAAAGTTTCCTTAATCCAAGGGACAGAGATTGTACACTAACCAAACAAATGCCAGTATTTGGTGGTTCTTAAGTATGAAGAGTTGTCTGAGCATAATCCATCCACCCTTCTGTTGCAGCTACAGTAAGGTAATAGGATAAGGCATGAATACAACCATAATTATCTTTATTCAAGTCCTAAAGTACATTTTTCCCAGATGGAGAATTTCTTCAGACCTGGGATATTTCGGTGAAAACGTGAGCATCTTTCCGTTCGTAAGTGGGCAGAGTGTAAAAAAATGAGCCATTTTTCCGGATACATGGGTAATATGGGAGAATACGGGAAACACGGGGACTTCATGCATTTATTCCCCTTGATGAATTTGAATAAAGCAAGAACAACAGTGGTTTGTGCAGAATAATATGGTACCATCATTTATTTCGTTGGCTTTTCATCAGCTGCTTACAGCCTAAATAAATTATGAGGTTTACGTACAGAAAAGTTTCAACATACTTGCAAATTTTACATGTTGTCAGTTGACAGAAAGTTCCACAATTAGTGAACAGTGCTCAGAAAATTGTGCCTATATAGTTTTTACACAGGCAGTTCAAGTCGAAATAAATGTATGTATACATTGGTAAAGGAGTTACGTAATAAAGACGAGAGGTGGGTAAGATGCTAAGTGACTAATAAATTAGGTAACGATGTACTGAGTTCAACTCACGTCATG